CGGGTACGGGCTGATGAACATCTTCAGGTCACGTACCTCTCCGCTAGACTATTCGCAGGCGGTAGATAGGGACTCGCTATCCAAACAAGGGCAGTTCTCCGGCTCAATTCCTCAACTTTACCATTATCTATTTGATTTCGCTTGATCAGAGTCCGCAAAGTCGCCTATCTGGATTCCCTCAGGGAATCGAGAGCTCCGTTTAGATCAGAAACCTTTCCGCAGTTTCCTCGGGGTAGAGCGTTTATCGGTCTCTCCAATGCGGAGGAAGTGTTTTCTTTTGATAAGTTCCCGGACCTTTGCTTTCCTGAACGCGATGTGCCGCTCATCTAAATACATACACACCTAGAATAATCGGAATGCCCATCGTGGATGCGGGAGGCGAGGCGACAACTACGGACAAGAACAAAGCATTCTCGATTAGCATGTATTCTTTATGTGTTCTGGGCTGTACCTGTACGAATCGTCCCCATCAGGATCATTCTGTACAGCCTACAACTACACTGAACGTTATTGCACGTTTTATTCTCGGTTTGTTTTTGTTCGTATTAGCTACAAGTAGTAATGGTCGTCCCCCCGCGAAGAAATCGGTACGCGAAAACAGACTCGGTCGGTGAAGAAGGTGAAGAATTTTCCCAAATCGGGGCGAACGCCGCTGCAGACGAGATGCTCGTCTCGGGTGCCCGAATGCGGAATGCCTCGGAGTTTCGATGTCCACGCGATCTCCAATGTGTATCCGATATAGGGGAGCGGAGAGCTCGGGCCGGAATCTCATTCTCGACCCATTTTGTAGCGGATCTTGGCCTTCAATCCGCCTCCTTCAAGGCTTACAAGTCTTCGAAACAAATCGGCAGCTGCATATATTGGGATACTTCCTCTCGGTCGGAAGCGAGGATTTCGAGCTCCGGATACAGAGTTCGCGGGATGACAAGCTCTAAAAACTTCTCCATGCCCAGAGCGCCTCCACAGTCGAATGTTTGACGACTTGGCGAGTTGTCGTCCGTCGTTGGGTGAAGCCCTGACGGAGCGCCCTTCTTTCTGTATCCCGGCCAAACTTTACGTCGATAAGCTTCTCTCTGTCGAAGAGCCAGTCGGGAGAGATCCTGACCCCCATACAGAGTAGACGCGGCGTCGTTGACAATCGCTTCGGCAAGATCAAATTTTCAAGAAAGCAGCGATTGCTCCTCGGTGTCTTATCCGAGTGGCTCCCAAGGGTGGAGGTGGATTATTATTGAACAGAAACGTCGAAACAGTGGCTCGTCGGTGAGAACCGAAAGAATCGAACATCCCCGGGCGACATCATAACCTTCGCGGGAGCCTTCCGGGAAGGAGGGCTCGATTCCCGTAAAGCACTCGCGGCGCCCCTCATATACGCGCTCACTAACCGCGTGTTTCCGCTGAATTCCGAGAAATTTCGGGAAATATTCTAGAGATCGGTACTTCGCAGTACGCGAGAGGTCTGCCCTGCGCCCCTCACCATGCGTCAAGACCGCGGAGGCGGTAGAATGTCAGCGGAAGCGCACTCGACATGACTGCGAAAACGTGAGCGAGGACGTCTTCCTCCAGCTCCTCGATCTTGGCACCTGTCGCGTGATACGGGCGTGGAATGTCCGCCGCAACCTTGCTCCTTACACAAGCTTGGATTCCAGCACATGAGGGACTTATCGGATAAGGCTCCTCTACATAGTTGACTACGGAAAAAAGAAGATCCTCTTCTCCTATGGGGCCTGTGGGGAACGAGAGGTCCCTCACAAGCGGGACTTGAGGGTATACTTATATTAGCGGCGTGCGTTGAGGTTTTCCTTCCTCTTGATTTCTAGTCTTTCGATGGGACGCGGACATCTTCATTATTGTAATTCGAGGCAATCTTGCATCACGGGCCTGCAGAGCCGGAAAGCCGCGCGTGAGAGCGCGATCCAGATTAACATCGCTGAAGAGCTGGTCCTCTTGATTAAGCCGTTCCTGTCGGACTTATCTTATTTCGCAATCTCCTACAGATCGGGCGTGATTCTTGCGTGCTTAGACTAATTGCAGCTTGTCTCGAGATATCTCCGGCGACGCTTTCCATTAGGCAACGATCCCGAATAGTCACCAGAAGGCGCTCCGTTTTCGAACACAGCGAAATCACATTATCTTCAATAGAATGAGCGTATCACGTCGAATGCCCGGGATCCAGTCTTCCAAAGCGGAGCTCCGGAGAATCCCGGATCCCGGGATTCCATGGCGAAGAGGCTTTAGCGTAATCCTCCCGGACTCATTCACATTCATGCTCCTATTACGATCGTTTGAACATTACAGAGTTCTAACCGTACGATGACCCGATTGTCGCCGATCCGGACTGAACCCCGATCGTGCTTGCGACACGAGTCCGATCGCGCCTAATTCGGAAGGATTCCTCCGCAGGCAGAGGAGGAGCAATCGCGACTTCCCGTTTCCTTTGTCTCATTCTTTTGTGGGCAGAAGGAATAATCGCCGTCCGAAAAGCGTCGGCAGACCTGTTCCTCGACAGGAATGAACTTGAGGTCAATGAGGTGGGAATCGATTTCTCCAAAAGTCCCAGACGTTCGGGAGGTCGTCGCACAATGGCAGGCACTATTGTCCCAGACTCCGTACAGATTCCCTAATATCCCGCGCTTTGAAGAGAAGACACGAATCCAATGAGAGTCGGCGAAATCCCGCGAGAACACCAACATTAATAGCGTCGTCCCACACAGTCGGGAATCCGCACGAGCTCTTCGTTCCTTTGTCGAGATCATTTTGTCACAGGGCACGCAGATTCCAGAAACGACGATTCTGCTGGTCTTTTCTCCTGGTGAACATATAGGTACATACGATGGTTGGTATTCTCTCGATCCTGTCCCCAGCGCTCCAGGCTGTCAAGCATCACGGATCGGCAGAACAATGGAAGATTTCTGACTCGTTTGACTCGCTGCGCCCGGAAAAGTTCCGAAACGGCAGACTCCATCCTGAATACTCAATCAACGAAGGAATGCCATTGAGAAAATGAACGACATGAGGAAAACCGTCAGAAGCATAAGGACGCGCTCGTGATCGTTGGCACGGCGGGCGTGCTTGCTCGTGCATTCACGCGTGCGAGCTGAATTCTCAAATTCCGAAGACCGATCCCGTGAACGCAGGCTTGGGTCACGTCAATCTCCGGCCTGCTCGTCCCGTAGCCGCGCATATTAGGGCCACGCGCATCGAAAGCCATCATCAGCGGAAGAAGCAGGTTCCGATCGTCGGGCGTTCAGGCTTTGCCGTTTCCGTCTCGTAAGGTGTCAAAATTCGGGTTGAAGGTCGAAACCGTTCATACGACTTCTGCCCGAGCGATTCCTGGAGTTATGCGACGGGAAATCTAAGCTCCCTGTCTAACCCTCGCTTGTTGCGACCCAGTGAATCTTGACCAGGACTTACTTACCCGTACGACATACGTGTCCCCGGAGATGAGGGTAATTCATTATTACGCACGGAATCTGAGGTCTAATATTCTACGGAGTACGGTAGCGACAGATAAATCTGAGCTTTCGACGACGTACATATGGTTTCGAGCGACATTCCTGCCGTCGCGTTCACCGACAAGGCTCCGCGACCCCGAGAAAACTCTGAGAACTGTGCGCTTTATTATGTTGTATGCGTCGATTCCCGATACGGTGATTGAGCCTTGGAATGACACGCTATCTATTTAGGGATGCCTCGCCACAAGTCATGTCTGAGGTCGTGCGTACAATTGATAAATGATCATCATTCAAAGCTCGCGTTCGAGGCGGGCGGGCAGGCAGGCGCTCGCTTCCTTCCGGAGAGACTTTCCCAAAATACACGGATGGATGCGACCGCAATGGTTCCTGTGTCATGGATAAGGTACCTAGTCTAGTTCCGATGACTGTTTTCGAGGAAGACAGAGCAAATAATAGGTCCATCTGCATTGGTGGCTCGTTTGGCTGGTTGGCTGACTGGCGGTTCGTCGGTCGGTCGGCCGGCCCGCCGTGGGAAAGGGATAAGCGAGGGGGCTCGTTCGGCCGGCGCGCGGTCCGACAGGCGTAGGGGCGGCTGGGTTTCTTTGCAGGCATGGAGGTACTTCGAGGGGAGAGCGTGGAGCGAAAGAAGGCATTGACGTCATACGGGAAGCCGAGAGTTGCAGCCACGGCAGAGCGGGCTACAACGACGAACTCGTTGGAGTAGTGTCCGTACATTTAGCTTTAACCAAGCAAGCAAGCGAGCAGCCAACAAACCTACCGTCACCACCACCACCCTCGACTTTGCAGGGAACACACAACCTGTCATGACACGGTGCTGAATCACACTCCAGTCGATTTCCGAAGAAGCAAACTGACGACGACGACGACAACAACGACGACGACGACGACTTCGACAAGTGTGTCTCCTTGTGTGTGTCCCCTTCATTTTTCTCTGCCTGCCTGTCTGTCTGCCTGCGTGATCGCCCGCCCGCCCGTTCGCCTGCCTGCCTGACATCCTGCCGCGAACTCCACCAGCAGCAACAGCAGCAAGCGCCGCCACCGCAGAAGCAGAAGCAGCAGCACTGACAAGTGTCCTCAAGCAGTTTTAAGTCGGTTGGTGGTTGAAGACATCTCGAACTTCGGACACGAGAACTTCAGCCGGTGCACCCGACCGAGGATGGGTCATTGTTGAAACGTCTGTCTGGAGTGAAGCTCGTTTTCCGGGAGTTAATTCAGCCAATTCGCCCGTCAGTGACTGAGTCGAGTAGCCAGACTGCCAGCAAGTCAGACGGACGGACTGTCAGTCGGTCAGTCAGTCAGCCAGTCAGTCGATCCGACGGACGGACGGTCAGTGAGCCAAATAGCCAACTGTCAACCAGTGAGCCAGTCAGTCGGGTACCGCGTAATACTTGTCGTCCATAGCCTTTCGTTTCAAAAGTTACCGAAGCGAGTAACTGCTTCTGATCAGCGCTCTGACTCCGTTCGCACCCCAGCACGCCTTCGCCTGTATCAGGGATGTCGTCGACAAAGTTCGTTTCGATAGACAGAATGTGCCTATTGTTAGCCATGTTCCTGAGCCTTCTGGATCACTCGTCTTTGACGACATGCCGGGTCATAAGGAACAGGGCTGACGAAAGCATTGAAGAAGGTCACGTGAATCCTGGTGCTTACGCCAAGCATAATCGTCCCGTTGTCATCGGTAAATCGCGCAGTCTTCCATGGTGGCCTTCAAACCTATCACTAACAGCGCAAGCTTTACTACGAAATTTCAACGTCCCTAAGAAGTTGATTACTGCTCAAACGCCAAAGATTTTCGTGCCGCACCATAGACCAAACAAGCGCGCTTCGCATCGTGCCGGGTCAGAGAAGGAGCATTCGAACCCAACGATCCCTACAACAGGTGTCCGGGCACCTCGCGGCGCACACGAGTACGACGTCCCGCAAATCGGTGAGTGAATTTAGCTCGTCTCGCTCTTAGGTAAACCGCACGAAGTTCAACTCAAAAATGCGTCGATTCATTTGGACGGAGCCGAGGAGCGACCGACTAGAATAGCGAGTGAGTGAGTGAGGAAATTTGTGTTCCGAGTGAGTGACGCGGCGAGTAGAGGTGGCGACAGCCTCGCTTCTAAATTTGTCCGTGCGAAGCAACGGGATGCCTCAAACAGCCTGTGAGTATTCCTGGCTGGCGTTGCCGTCGCTCCGTGCCCCCCACCGCCAGACCTGGGGCTCTGGTTCTCATGCGCAAAAAAGTCCGACCCTCGGCCGTGTTTTTGTCTGACGTGATGAATGAGCCTCCTTACCCCCCCCCCCCCCCC